AGAAGGGCAGCCCAACACCAAAAATAGCCAAACAGCTGTCACATCTACCTGCAACAGAAGAGGTTCCATGCTTCCAAAAGTGCTCTGATCATGACACAAGGATAGAATCAAATAATCAAGATATCTCCTCCAACGAGTAGTTCCCCCCACGATTTCTGTTACCTATGAAATAAGTGTAGGAAAAAGACCACCTATAACATTTCACGTTGCTTGTTTTCCAATATCTAAAAGTTCCAGTCTTTCTATGGGTGTGGACGAAGAATGTAAAAAGAGATAAGTGAGAGGAGAACCAGGCGGAGGTCTCTATCATCCAAATTACGAGTACGGAATCCAAGAGTTCTCTCAACATATCCCATTTCATTGTCACCTGAGCCCTTGCCTTGCTCGTTCAACAGGTCAGCAAATGCGCCCCCGAACTCGATCCGCATCAATCTCACAGCAGAGACTAGTAAAGCCCCAAATGAGGAAAAAGAAGTAAATCTTATAAGTTTCAAATTTGATGCTATATATGAGGTGACACTTCCAAATTCAACGGAGCACCTGCTCTGTGAGGCGATACTTCCAAATTCAGCTTTGGTGCATTGCTTGCATTATCAGAACGACCTGTAGCGCAACACAGAATGTATAATTTTTATCTAAGAAGAATGATTGCGATATGCTTCAGTCACTAAAGAAACATGTAAACTGAAATACAAAATTTGACCAATTACGATCGCAAGAGTTCAAAATAGTGTACCTTTTCTGTTCCTGTTGGTTGAAGTATGTACATGACCTGGAACACTATAATATATCAATTCATTGTCCAAGAAAAAGATGCAGTACTTATTCAAGAAAGCTAATCAAGTATAGTCCTGCTAACAACAAAACAAATAGATACAAAACGGAAACAAAGGTACAAACTTGAGTTCACGGGCTCTTTTTNATTTCAAGCAGGCCCAGAAGCTGGTTTGTCACCTGGTTTATTTATCGAAGGTGAAGTTATAGACGACTTGTTTCCTGAAGATTTCTGTTTATTATGTTTCAGTAGGGGCGGTGAACCAGAAGAGACGACGCGGAGAGTCACCGCCGTAGTTGTATTCGGGCTATGTATTGAAGACGAAAGTAGGCTGGAATTATGTGAGAAACACCCGCGAGCGTCCATAGCTTAATCGTAAAAGAACGCAGTTGGTGGAATGGGCGAGGGAATGGATAAAAAGAGAAACTATTTTTTTCCTTTTTTCCCAAAAGAGAAACTCAAAGATAGAATAGAAATGCAATTTTAATTTTGAGTAGAGTTGTAAGGTCATCTAGGGCCCTTAGAGAGCATCTTCAATGCTATAAGTATGAAAGACTATTATTTTTAATACATGTCAATTAATAATTATAATGTTAATTCAATTGAAAATAATGTTAAAAGATTAGAAATTTCAATGAAACTAATATCTCCAATTAGCAGTGTCAAACGGGCTGGTCCGGTCCGACCCGCGCTGGCCCGCGGTTCAAACGGGGCGGGCCAAAATGGCCCGCATTTCTACAGACTGGGAAATTCATGGCCCATGGCTCGCCCTCATTAGTCTGTGGGCCAAATCGGCCCGCCCGCGGGTTTTTTGGTATTATGCACTCTTATATACTTTTTGGTTTGTTTATCTGTATATTTACTAGTATATCAATAAATTAGTAAGGCTTCATGTGTAATGATGTTAAATATTTGTCATCCAGTTTTTATTTTTATTTTTTTATGAATAGTTATAAGGTATTCATGCGGAAGAGAGACTTAATTCACATAAAATATTATTTGATTCATATATTTTTATTATGTAAAAAAGTGTTTCATGTGCATTTACAAATCTTAATATCATTGTCAAATTTTAAAAAATATAAAATAAATAAATATGGAAGAAGAAGAAGAAAAAAAAAAGACCATAAAAACAAAATCCAACAAAATAAATAAGTCCATCAATAGTAATTACTAATTAACAAACATTCAAATTCCCATAGCAGATCATATTCAAAGTAAATTCAAACAATCAAAGTCGACAACAAAATAACTAGTAGCAAACTTAGAAGTTAAAAATAAAATAAGAAATACTAAATTTAAATAATATAAAATTAACAAATAAATAAATAATAAAAAACGGTCCAGCCCGCCCCAGCCCGCTTTAGACCGCAGGCCGAACGGGGTGGACCAAATAGGCCCGCGATTGAACGGGATAACCAAGCAAAGGCCCAAGCCCGTCCATTTAGGCGGAGGGACGGGCCAGCCAGCGGGCCATGGCCCGTTTTGACAGTGCTATCTCCAATGGAGATAGCATCAATTTGATAAGAAGTTATTTGTATAGGTGGACCAATTAAATAATTCATTGATACAAAAAAAATAAAAAATTAAAACAAATATAAAGTAAATTGATGAGTCATCATCATGTTTAACATGGTGTTAGATATTAGAAAGTGTGCTCAACATTGTCAACATTAAATGACATCCACCTCATCATGAAAGAGTTCATGACAAGATGCATTGGAGAAAAAAATAGACACACTTTCAAAAGTTGATAATATGGATGAGAATAGAGTTAAACATTCATCTCTAACTCTTATCTCTACATTTTACTCTACATAAAATATATTATTTTTTTATTTATTTATTTTTTAAATGAATTGGTATATATAAGTATATTTAATCTTATATAAATATTTATTACCCAAATAATAAAAATGTATTTTATTTATTTTTATTTCAAATGAATTGATATATATATGTATATTTGATTTTATAAAAAAATGTTATTATTCAAAATGAAATTATAATACATTAATAAATAAAAAGTACAAAATTATTTACCATAAAAAATACATTGTACAAAGTTATTTTGTATTGCGCTAGAGTGGCGTTCCCCCCCAGAGATAGCGCAGCACTGGGGAGGCTCTAAAGATTGGGTTAGTCAACTTCAGTTAGGAGACCAGTGTTTTTTTTTTTCAATACAAGAAAAGGAGGCAAAGTCTAATTAAGACGAGACCAACACGTTTTGGGGATACGACACCCCTACCACATCATGAGCCAGCCAAGTCTTCGCACTCGAGGGAGGATCATCCAAACGCTGAACTCCGCCAGGCCCTGTGCCGCAAGGGAGGCCAAAAACTCAGCAACAAAATTCGCTTCACGATAACCATGTTGCAAAACCACATGCCATTACCAACGTAACAACTTTCGTATCCCTCGCATAATCCCCCAATGGATACCGCATTCATCATCTCCACTTACCATAGCAATAATTCTCTGGTTATCGACCTCCACAACCACCTTGCAGGCCCGAATCTCTCATGCAAGCGTCAACCCCTGAAACAAACCTCAAAGTTCGGTACCAATAACAGAGCAAAATCCAATATTCATCACGAAGTCACTCAGCCATTTCCTCATATGATCCCGAATAACGCCACCAGCAATAGCCATACTCGTACTCGGTAGGTGGCTGTCGTCCATGTTGACCTTCACCACACCTGCCTCAGGCAGTTCCCACACTATCCAGCGCTGCTCACGCCGGCCGGCGCCGCCTAACGCGCGGCCACTAGCCGCGGCTGCGTCAATGCGATGGACGAAAGAAAGGACGTCATGCACACGAAACTCCACAGACCGGTGCTCATCTCGAAAAATTTTCAAGTTTTGCCATCGCCACATACGCCAAGTCGTGACCCCAAAGATGGACATCTTGTATTGTGTTGCGTTTTGGTTTTATACTGCATGTGTTTTGGTCTTTATATTGCGTACGTAAATAGCGTTGCGTGTTGCGCAAATTATTTAGGTATAAAAATAAAAACTTGATACAAATATTATATATATATATATATATATTTGCATATAATAAAACTCCATGTTTCATACCAAAAATTATCATACTACTTGAAATAATCCAAAAATAACATTTAAGACTTTCTCACAAATGTTTAATAAAAATCTTAATATGAAAATATAACTAATAAAGCAAATATACTAAAAAGAAAAAAAGCAAACAACGAAATATAATAAGGTAAGTCATAGTTTAATTTTAAGTATATACACCTTAATTCATTTTTCAAATATAACTACAGCTTAATTCTAACAACTAGATTTGAACTTTTTATTTTTTAAATTAAATGTCAAATACGGAAAAATAAAATGATATAATATAAGTAGACCGACAAATATGTTCAACTTAGGACTTTGCGTTTTCAAACTTTTAATTTGAAATTGTTATCCAAATTTTTAGTTTTTAGATGTCATTTAAAAATATGACTCTAATCCCTAAAAAGTACACGTTTTTTTTAATATTTTATTATTTAAATATTTGTTGCAGAAATAGAGCGTAAAAAGCGTGTCATTTCAGCATTTCTCGGAAGCTTTTTCAAAAAAATGCTAAATATGTAATGTTAGGTCGCGTTTTTTAGAAATACAAAGCGCTGTAGCACGATGTTTAAAACATTGTCGGAGACTGATTTGAGTGTTAGATTTTGTGGTAGCAGCGGAAGGTTTGCAAGAGATGAGGTAGGTCTTATGTTATTTTTATTTTAGGTGTGCATTGTATTTTAGTGGTTTGCCATGTTAGTCCTACTTATGTCTGGATTAGTCTTCTTTTAACGAGTATTTTCTATTTTGTCCCATTTAGTGGGTTTTTAATATTTTTAGTTGTTTATTCCCTTGATAGTATGGATAAATCCAAATGAATGTGATTTCGATCTTATATTGGCTTTAAGTTATATATATAATAATTATCGTTTCTATAAAATAAAATAAAAAATGAAAACAACACAGTCTTTGATGGTTATTTTACCAATTTTTGGTTATAAACTGTGATAACCATAGGAAAAATGAATATACAACAGTGTGTCCTGTTTGAGTGTGGAGTGTGTAGTGTGGAATATAATAGTGGACCAAAAGTCTCTTCCTTTTATTGTTCAAAAGCCTTGTCGTCGTTGCTCATGTGAATATGATGTTACAGTTGGCCACAATTCTCTATGTTGGGTTCTATAAGGAACGTTAATCGATGTGCACCTCGAACTTAAAAATTTAATCCTAGCGCGGCAGAATCTACAATTAGGATTACAAACTTACTACTTTAAAATGTGCATACTTTGAGATTTCTTACACATCATACAGAGTTAGACGAATGATTCTAACTCTCGCCAACTTATCGTTCTCACGCCTTGTCCTGTCAGTAACTGTCTTTCGTCAGATCATGAGCATTGCCATGCCACGTGGTCGCTGCTCGCGCCGATCACCGATCGTCGCGGCTTTTTTCGACCTCACCGAGTCACGCGCTGGTCACCGATGTGTTGCGGCTCGCTGGGGCTGCGCTTGGGGTTGTGTGCAATTGTCTTGGGTCAGGCGAATAGGCTACCTCGAGACCTTCTGTCGTATAACCAATCACCACTCCGAGTTGTCTTGATGGGCGACTCGTCAGATCTCCAGCCTCGCACAATTCACACGTACTTTCTCTCTTCTTTTTGCTCAAGATTTTTTAGTCTTATGCGTGTGACACTTCTTGAAGGCGAAGGGACTTTGCGTATTTATAAGCTACAACAGAGACCTTGGTTGACGGTAGATATGAACCACAACAGTTAGACAGAAACGACATTTATTCAATGAGGGAATTAATGTGTTTATGGCATACAAACGGATGTTGAAGTGAATAATAAATCATCGATCTGAAGTAGGAGATCAACATAAAGAAAGGAGCAAGTGTTTATTGTATTGAAGGACTCTTT